CTATTTCAGTGTGTGTTTACTGTAGCTTACAATAAAGTCAAATGTCTTTTTTTTCCCTTATCAATCACGATGGCTGTCAACCCATTTCCATCAATAAACGCTTCAGTTCTGCTTGCAAATTCCTGCTGAATTTGACATGCCATTTATTGTACGACATTTGTTTTAAGTTTTCCTTTAAAGAAAAAGATTAGAAAAAGAAAAAAAATATGGTCGCAAATATTGCATATTTTAAACTGGCTTCCACAACGACAAAAATGTGTCGGGCTCAACGATAAATTATGTACATATTTACTCTTTTTTCGACTAATCTGGTACAAGGCCATAAAAATGGATGACTAATTTTCATAAGAAACTATCAAAGAACTGTGTAAGTAGCTGATGTTCCGAAGCGGACACTAATCTACTTAGTAATCAGAATGGTAGACTAATTTTATCACAAAAAGTACCTTACTAAATCAATAAACAGACTTAAAATATTTTAAAACAAGATCAGACAGTCACTTATATGCCATGATACACGCTTAAGCGATCATGTATCTTTCGATACATGACTGACACAGTAGGTTGTCATTTCTTTCTGCGGTAGACCAGTTGCCATCCAAGGCAAAAGAAGCTGGTCAGCTCTGCTATTAACCCATAGCTTGGGGAGGCGGGAGAAGAATAGGATTCATACCTTTCCCAAGGGTATTAACACGTAAGTGAATGTAATAGATTCGACTGAAATCCGTACTCGGCTCTCCGATTCCTCAATCCAAGTCGCTATCCATTACTCCACCGTGCCAAAATCAAGTGCAACACTTTAATGAATTTTTATTGATGAGGTAGTCCAAAATTTTAAAAATAGGTTCTAAATTTTTCCTTTTTTTTAACACTGATGTTCAAGGCCCAAGAGCCACTCTACGTAGAAGGTAACAAAATAACATTTCATTGGGATATATACGGAAAATATTGTCCAATCTTAAGAAAGTTGAAAGCTTGGACCACATTCCTTCTTAGATAATTTTTCTCTCCTAAATCTTAAATATTTATAAATCTACCATTCATCCATTCTTTGAATATTGCTGCCACATATGGTCCGGTGCTCCTGCTATATATTTAGAGATTCTTGATAAAATCCAAAGAGGAATCTGCAATGTTTCTCTCCAGAATCTATCTTACATATTTATAAGTCTACCATTCATCCATGCTTTGAATATTACTGCCACATATGGTCTGGTGCTCCTGCTATATATTTAGAGATTCTTGATAAAATCCAAAGAGGAATCTTCTCTCCAGAATCTATCTTACATATTTATAAGTGATTCATCCATGCTTTGAAATGCCAATATGGTCTGGTGCTTCTGCTATATATTTAGTGATTCTTGATAAAATCCAAAGAGGTATCTGCAATGTTATTGGTTCTGACCTGGCGTCTCGGGTTCAGTCACTTTCCCACCACCATAAATTTTCGCCTCTCTGCCATTTTTTTATCAGTACTTTTTTGGTAAATGTTCGGAGGAACTCTTAGCTATAGAACGCAGATTTTATGAATTTACGCGCATTTCTACATTGGTAGTATGGTCGCATCAATTTACAAGTGAATTAGTTAGACGTAACCGTAAGTTCTCTGCTAGAAGTTTCTTCTATAGCACTTGTGGAACTCTCTCCCAGTTCCATTCTCTCTCCCAGTTCCAATGTTTGTTTTCTAATTCTTCCAAAATCCTTGTAAATTCGATTATATATATATATATATGTGTGTGTGTGTGTGTGTGTGTGTGTGTGTGTGTGTGTGTGTGTGTGTGTGTGTGTGTGTATTTTTAACTGATAAAGTGCATATCTTGCATAATTTGATTGTAACACACGGAAAAAATATTCGTGAATATAAACGGATTATGCTAAAAATAAGCAGACATAATGTTTGCAATTTTCTTAATCAGATATGCCTAAAAGAGAATTTGCTGCCTAAACAAACAAACAAACACACACACACACACACACACACACACACACAGACATATATATATATATATATATATATTATGTCTAGGAATACGATAAAATAATAAGATAAAGAACAAGTCGGAAACAGGTCTCAATCAAACATGTTTTACTTTATTAAAGCTTCGTCAGAGATCAAGATAGAGATGATAAAAAGGATAAAAAGCAAAGAGACGCAGATTAATGCAATGTTGTATTAGGCTTAGATACGTGTCACGTCTAAAGAAGTAAGAGATAATACTCAAATAAGTTTAAGAAACATTCTGGACGCTAAAGTGTGTAAAAGTTAGTGAGACACTGCAGGATGTTTTGAAAATTTTTGTTTTGGTTTGATTTTTCATGAAAGCATATCTCGTACGTATCTTGTATATATCTTCATTGATTTTTATTCATTAGGAAGAGATAAGCTAGTTTCATGAATAATGGATCTGTAGAAAAAATGGTAAAGTACTGTAGGTTTTTTAAACGTGTTTTAATAGTTGGTGGTATTGCTATAAATATGTTTTCATAATATTTTCTCTTTAAAGGGTCAGTTGTGTGTGTGTGGGTGTGGGTGTGAGTGTTTACTCTAAATTCAAAGATACACTTTTTTTCCCCTAGGAAGGACTGTAAGCGTCAGATTTGGTGAATACTCATCTTATAATTTTTTTAAAGACTATAGTTTAATCCTAACGGCCAGGGGTTCAGTTTTTAAAATTCAATTTACGTAACGCTCAATCTGTACTCAACACCTGAAGATTGCGTTTTGCATGGAGCTCTGAGTCCTGCAAACGGTGAGGGATATATATATATATATATATATATATATATATATATATATATATATAGAGAGAGAGAGAGAGAGAGAGATTAATAGCTCTCATACTACATCGAGCACTGTTTTATTAACACTGGCATGTTATGTGCTATTTACATAGTATATATATATATATATATATATATATATATATATATATATATATATATATAATATACTCTTAATTTGAGGTATATTTATGGGATAAATTGCTCAATATCGATAGAGCGTGTTTATATATAAAAGTTGACATTGAAGTCAACACTTAGAGGCGACATGCTGTTTCATGCTAGACGCAATCGTCAGGCCACCGAAAAACAAAACGCACATCACACCAAAAATATATTGGAAAATAAGGAAACGATTATCAGCCTACAACAACCAATGCAAAACTTGCGAACTTTGCTTGGAGGATAAAATAACAATCATTACCTTTCCAGAGAAAAATAAATTATTAAGTAAACGATCCCAGTACATCTCAAAATGCAGACATGAAAACAAATTTTTACTACGTTACTTAAAAAATCGAAAACTGAAAAAAATTAATAAAAAATAAAATAGAATAAATAAATAAATAAATAAACAAAATGATAATAAAATAAGTAAAATAAATTAACCCAAACAAATTACCAAACCACACCCGTTAGAATAGACGAAATAGAAAAAGAAAAAATTAAAACAAAATCAATGAACCCAAACTAAACAATTAAATAAGCGATATAATGAAATTTTTACTACGTTAATAAAACCACCGATTAAAATAAAAATAAATAAATAAATATATCAGATAAGAAATAAAAATAAAAATAGATAAAACAAACAAATAACCCAAATAAATAAAACAAAAAAATAACCCAAATAAATAAACAGATAAACGACTTTCGGTAAAATAACCGCCAAAATAGACTACCCACAATGCACCACTGACCTGTATATATAAATAGCCGAGAATAAAAGCAACACTCGTGGCCTGACGAATGCGTCTAGCATGAAACAGCCTGTCGCCTCTAAGTGTTGACTTCAATGTTGACTCATATATATATATATATATATATATATATATATATATATATATATATATATATATATAAAGAAAGAACAGTAAGATATATAATCCGGTGTTCTTATAGATATTTTTATTTTTTTTATAAAATAGTGCTCAATGTAAATTTACAGAGCGTTAATATTATAAATTAATTGATTTAAAATATGGTTAAAACCATTATTTCATATATTATACGGCAAAGTAAAGAAAATTAAAAAAGCACATGCATCTTCTGACAGGATTACAGCCTGTGACCTCCTTGGCAGGAGAAACCAACATCTGATCCGATGTGATTTGACTGCAGGTCGCCGAATATCTAGCTTTATAGTAAAACAATGTTTCATTTACCTTAATATATATATATAAAATAAAAAATAGATAAATACTACGTTACTTAAAAATCGAAAACCGAAACGAGACAATATGGAAGTAAAATAAATTGACTTAAATTCATCCAAGTAAATAAATAAACAAACCAATCCCTATAAAGTTACCGTTAGGAAAAACAAATAAAGATAATCAACCCAAATAAAAACAATTTAAAAACTGTTCCTGCCAAAATAATAGTTAGAATAAACTACAACAACCAACCCTAAAACGGAACAAATAGCTTTAATTAAATTCTCAAACCAAAACAAAACTATTAAATAAGTGATATAAACAAATTTTTTACTACGTTAATAAAAAAAATAAGTAAATAAATAAATAAATAAAATAAGAAACAAAAAATAAAATCAAATAAAAACAAGCAAAATAATTTAACCCAAATAAATAAATAAACGACTTCCGGTAAAATAACCGCCATAATAGACTACCCACAATGCACCACTGACCCGTATACGTAAAATAGCCGAGAAAATAACAGCACACGTGGCCTGACGATTGTATATAGCACGAAACAGACTGTCGCCTCTAAGTGTTGACTTCTATGTTCACTTTTATATTTACACACGCTCTATCTCTGATATCGAGCACTTTATCCCATAAATATAGCACACCTTAAGACTATATTTCTTCATATATATATATATATATATATATATATATATTACTAACAACATTACTCAAGCAAACAAGCAGGTTCACTCCAATTAAATGCTTAGACCAACACAGTATTTTAGAAGCGTTCATGTGCATCTGCCTGTCTGTCTGTGTATTTGTCTATGTATCTCTCTATGTCAGTTTATTCATATCTATCTATCTATCTATCTATCTATCTATCTATCTATCTATCTATCTATCTCTCTTGCTGTGTACTTTTTTCTGAAATAGGTTTCCTGCCAGTACAACCGTTTTTCTTAAGACAAGCGACGTTTGTACAACGACTGAAACATTTTTGTTTTTTTATATTTTTATACTTATATACAATTTTTAAGCAGAACTTGAAGAAGGCAGACATACTGTCGAAACCTTGTGTCTTTTCTTTTCTTAAATAGTGCTATGCTGTAAGCGTTGGTAAACATTGCAATAATTACGTCAATCATTTTATTTATTATTATTATTATTTGACACAACAGAGCCCGCTATCAAAGTGACACTTGGCTAAAAATATATGACGTCAAATATAGCAGTCATGACACTCATTCTGTAGAGCAAATTGACACCCCCCTCCACACACATTCTTCCTTCAACTGCTCTCGCCCATAAATAGATATGAACAGTGTATTAATCATTACGAAGGAATCACCCTGAAGAGGTGTGGGCTACTTCAACCTCTCTTACCCTAGCTACACCGATTGCGATTACAGCCGCACTACATGTGATGCCGCTACGAAGGTAAGCGAAATAAAAGTATGAAAAAGGATTTGATAGAAAATACTTTTGCCTTTCTTCTTTTTTTTTTTTCTCCAATGTGAAAATTATTTCCATGATTGCATTTCATTTTATATATATATATATATGACTTCGTAAATAAAGACCTCGGGAACAGACTGTCCCCGTCTGCACCAAGCTTGCAAGTGGATGATCAGTCCAATGCTGGGAGGCAGATTCGTCCACAACAGTCGAAGGAGGAAGGTTTGGTCCGATGTTTTTGCAATGGTGGAACGATTGACAATCGGCATTGTCTTTTTATTGTCATTTATCGCAAATTAGCTTTTTGTGTTCCTTCACGAAGGAAGGGGCCGTTTGATGGACACTTAATTTTAAGTTCATGTTTTTAGCCATATTTGTATATCTTTTTCTTTTTCTTCTACTTTTTTTTCTTTCTTTCCTTCTTCTTTCTTCTTCTTTTTCTTCTTTTTTCTTCTTTTTTTCTTCTTCTTTTACTCCTCCCCTTCTTTTTTCTTCTTTTTCATTTTCTTCTTTTTTTCTTCTTTTTGTTTTTCTTCTTTTTCATTTTCTTCTTTTTCTTCTTTTTCTTCTTCTTTTACTCCTCCTCCTCCTCCTTCTTTTCTTCTTCTTTTTCTTCTTCGTCCTTTTCTTCTTTTACTCCTTCTTCTTCTGTTCTTCTTCATTTTCTTCTTTTTCTTCGTCTTTTACTCATCCTCCTCCTTCTTCTTTTCTTCTTTGTCTTCTTCTTTTTCATTTTCTTCTTTTTTCTTCTTTTGCTTTTTCTTTTTTTTCATTTTCTTCTTTTTCTTATTTTCTTCTTCTTTTTCTTCTTCTTTTAATCCTCCTCCTTCTTCTTCTTTTCTTCTTCTTTTTCTTCTTCTTTTAATCCTCCTCCTTCTTCTTCTTTTCTTCTTCTTTTTCTTCTTCTTTTCTTCTTCTTATTTTTCTACTTCTTCTTTTTCTTCTTCTTTTGCTCATCCTTCGTCTTCTTTTTTCTTCTTCTTTTTCATTTTCTTCTTTTTTTCTTCTTCCTTTTGTTCTTGTTCTTTTCTTTGTCTTCTTCTTTTACTCCTTCTTCTTCTTTTTCTTCTTCTACCTGACGCGTCCCTTCAGGACATGGACGGTCATAGTTCTCGAAAATTTCTTAAAACTTTGTCAAAATTAGAAAAATCCCCAATTTTAAAAAAGAAAAAGAAAATACTTTTGCTCTCTCTGTCACGTATGACCTCCGTGACTCGCAACATTCGCGGTTTGAAAGACCACCTTTTAGTTATTTAAAATGATTATTGACTCATCTTACGCAGTCTCTTAGAAACTCCCACCCTCCTCCATACTTGACAAGGGGGGGTACAACTTCCTCTTAGTGCCCTCAGTAAATACTTACCTGTTTAAACCACAATAGTTTGAACTTGTGAAAATTTCACTGTTTCTCTCCGTGAAATTTCTGATGAGTCTTAATTCTTAAGTTAAAGATTGAATAAGCTCATGGCGAGTTCTACGACCACAAAATATCTGTAGAAATTCCATTATGGCATCGTTAAAGATTTAAGCTTAACAACTTTAACAAAACTAGAAAGATTAATGTTATTGTTTATATTTCTATTCTCGTCATTGCTATAAGCTACCTTAGACAGAAAACACGTAATATGGAAATACAACAGATTAGGAAATCCGTTATAGATAAGCGTTTGTTTTACATTGTTTAATTCTTTAAAGATATGCGTGCAAAATTTACATCTACATACAAAAAAAAAAGGCTAAAGATAAAGGAAGCCTTATTAATAAATACAGAAAAAAAATACAACACTTTATAATATTAACTATGAACATGGACACAACATCTTGGCCATGTTTTGAAAAATGAAAACTATATAAATACATACAACAATCTATTTCTTGTTAAGAGTTAATATATTTCAACCTTGAAAATGGCTAAATTTATAGCCGAAAGCGCTCGGAAAGAAAACATTTGGACAGTTTTTGTATAATTTGTCCTCGGAAAAAGATCACATGAGAAATTGTATAAAAGACTAAATCAAAGCACCCTTTTCAGTTATATTCAATGAAATGTGCATGAAAGAAGAATTGCTGCCTAAATACAAATATATATATATATATATATATATATATATATATATATATGTGTGTGTGTGTGTGTGTGTGTGTGTGTGTGTGTGTGTATGTGTGTGAAAAGTGTGTATATAAATATAAATAAATATATATATATAATTATTTATATATAATATGTGCGGTACTTATTAGAAAGCGCTCAATATCAGAGATAGAACTAACATATTTGGTTGGATAGATGTGAGTTTGCGACCCTGGGTTTCAAACTCTGAGTTTGTCTGACGATTGCAAAAGCGTGAAACCCAGGGTCACAAACTCACATCAATCACGTGGAAAGACATGACATCAATCTAACCAAATATATATATATTAGTTTTAACCTGTGAAAATATGATGGTTTTCTATTTGAAATTTCTGATGAATCTTAATTCTTCAGTTAATGATTGAATAAGCTAATGGCAAGTTCTACGACATTAAAATATCCGTAGAAATTCCCCTATCGCATCATTAAATATTTGAGCTTAACTGTAGGAAAATATTACAGTAACAATGATAAATATGAATGCTGATCGTTATTTTCAGAAGTAAGGGGGTACAAATCGAAATATTTGAAATTGACAATTTTTTCCATTTCACTGAAACAGAATTTAGATAATTTAAATTGAAACAATTTAAATTGAAATAATTTAAATTTAAGCACTCATGTCTTCAATTTCGTATTTATTTATTTAATGTACATATCTTTTTTTTTATTTTCCCCGATCAAAACGTATAGTCCATTTTTTAAGAGGTTATAGCTGGAGACATCAAACACTATGATATCTATGATATGTCATGTCTTTCCACGTGATCAAAAAGACATTGACCATTATCTATAAGGTACTGGCAAGACGTAACGATCGTGCGAACTAACGAAGAGAAAACAAGTACAATTATAACAGGATTATTTTGCACAAATCCCTGTAAAATAATCTTCTACCCAGTCATATCTACTTTTTTTATTACTAGTTTCATTTTTTCCCTAATTATTGAAAATACGTGTTTTTTATTCTCTTGTAGTCAGATCAAATATGGCTAAATTTTACGGAGTTTCAAGTGAGGAAGACCCATAATAATCTTGAAAGGAGGGAAATTATTCAGATATTGAATAAATCTGCCACAGTACGTAAAATAAAATGATTCCCGCTTTGATCATTGAATCGTGCCAGTCGGCATATTTTACAAGATGTCTATTTACAAAATTCACAATATGATCAAATATACAGTGTTAATGCACATATAATTTTATACCTGCTGACCTGGATCTGAACGATTTGAATATATAATTACTTAACCGACCGGTTTATGTAAGAAAACACTGAAACTGGTTCATTCTACAACCAAAATATAGGGTGGCAACTAAAAGACTGAATGATATAAAACGAAAATAACTTCTCAGTGCGTTTAGGACCTCTTCCCGGAAGATCGCTGACTGATCCAGTTATTTAAAACTGGACGATTAAGTCCAGAATCATGCTATTTTTAGGAGATACTCTGGCATTAAAATGTTGCCGGTATTTTCTCTCAGTTTAAATAACTGTTCTTTCATTGGAATAATAATAATAATAATAATAAAAAAAAAACTCAATGAGTTTTACTCGTTGCTGGATATCATACGTAGCCATTTGAATCTTCAAGGGATGCTCTATAACCTGGAATAAAATAAAACAGATCGAAAATAAACAAGTTATAACTTTCTCAAACCCTTCAGTTTTTCAGTGCCGACAATATATATATATATATATATATATAATAATAATAATAATAATAATAATAATGGACTCTCCTGTCGGTTTCGACGTATGAGGATCTGACAGCTTACTTGATTCCGTTATGAAATTTTGTGCGATAATCTTAAGTGGCATTTAAGATCCGCTAGTGATTTACAAAGGAGGCCACATATGGAGCAAGTGTGAGGATTGTGAGATGAGATCACTGTTAGATTGGCTGACCTTTTAGATCTTGTTCTCGCTTCTTGAAGATGATTCAGACAAGCAAATTGAAAACTGCTGAGTCCACTAAAACACGTTGATGTCCATTCTACCCGCTCCAAGGCTAAGCGCTCAAGGGTGTTATGCGGTATATTGACTGCTGACAAGTTGCTTTTCAGCTTGTCTTTGTATCTTAGCCATGGGCGTCCTAAATTCCTGTAGCCCTGATCTAACTGGCTGTACATTAGGATCTTGGGTATCCTGTCATCAGACATTCCCAAGACATGACCAGTCCACCGTAACTGAGACTGTATGATAAAAGTCTCGATTCCTCCAATATTACACCTGTTAAACAGGTCTACGTTAGATGTCCTATTTTGAAGATTAACTCCACAGATTGCACGCAGACAGCTTTTATGGAAAATATCCAGCTGGCGTATATGGTACCTGTATGGAGTCCCCGACTCTGAGCCATACAAAAGGATGGCAAGTACAACAGCTATGAAAACCCGAATTTTCGTATCCAGTCGAATACCCCGCTCATTACACAAGCGATGGCGAAGTTTGTCAAAAGCACTGGTAGCCTTATCATCATCTAAAGTTCCACTGTAATTGACTTTGCTACCAAGATAGGTGAAAGATATATATATATATATATATATATATATATATATATATATATATATATATATATATATATATATATATATGAATAAAAATGACAATAGGAAAACTTGTAATTGCTGACGCGTTTCGTCCAATGTGGACTTTATCAAAGCAAAATACGAAAATGAAATTAAATGAACCTGTGTGTGAGTTTTTGTTTTCCATGTCGACAAATATGAAAATTTCTCCGATTTAATCGGTAGAGAAGACAATATTTATGAATAAAAATGACAATAGGAATATTGTCTTCTCTACCGATTAAATCGACATGGAAAACAAAAACTTGTTCATTTAATTTCATTTTCGTATTTTGTTTTGATAAAGTCCACATTGGACGAAACGCGTCAGCAATTACCAGTTTTCCTATTGTCATTTTTTATTCATAAATATTGTCTTCTCTACCGATTAAATCGGAGAAATTTTTCATATATATATATATATATATATATATATATATATATATATATATATATATATATATATATATATATATGGTGGCCACTGAAAGACTGAATGATATAAAATAAAAAATAACTTTTACAAACGCATAAGTATCTTTTGGTAGTAAAGTTTGGGCTATTTCAATCTTGCATGGAAACATTTTTAAATCCAGTTCCAAAATCTTCTGAAGCGATGTACTGGCTACGCTTAGTTGAGCATAGAGACGACGGTTAGAAGCTGATTGATCCTCAAGGACACTCTGCTGTACACCTTCCATCGCTGCGTCAGTGTGCTTAGGACCTCTTCCCGGATGATCGTCGACTGATCCAGCTCTTTAAAACCGGGCGATAAGGCTCCGTATCATGTTATCGCTTGTAGAAACTCTGGCATTAAAATGTGGCCGCTATTTTCTCTGAGTTTGAATAATTGATCTTTTATTGGAACAGGATACCTCAATGACATAAAACGGGACATAAACAGACCCCACCACTGAATTAAAACATATTAATATAACAATTTGAAAAAAATTATATTTAAAAACTAAGATGAAACGTTTGTAATAACATTTTAACAAAATATGGCGTCTTCATTATAACATGACGATGTGATTTGATTGGGTTTCCGGTTCCTGCTAAAATCTCCTTCTACTATTCACTATAGTAGAAATCGGAATGACTCCGCTTGACCACTGTTTTTCTTTCTCGCTGGGAAGGAAAAACCGGAAAGCCGAATCTCTTACGCGAGAATATCCCCAGGAAAGGCTTGAAGCCATCTCCCCTACAACCCACCTATGAGTTGTATAGCTGGACGGACAGTGTCTTATAGCTTTGGTTCACAACCAGTCTACCGCAGAAAGAAATGGCAAACTACTGTAGGAAAAGCTCTGAATAGTCAGTGATGAAACGAAAAAGATATGATCGTCCATGTTTAGATCTCGTATGACATTTAACTCAGTTAAGAAATCATCGTAATAAACTTAAAAACATATAAATATTTAAAATCGGTCTCTTATAAAATATATTTCGTTACTATTACTATTTCGTTAAGTTAAATATCATGGAAACTCTAATTTGACCCTCACAAAATTCTAAAGCTTGTTCAGCGTAAACCCTTAAAACTAAATTCTTATCC